ACAAGCAGACTGAGACTTCAGAGCATACAAAAACTGTTGTTCGAGTTAAATTGCTGAGTTGTGGCAAACAGTGTAATCCAGCCAATCACTTCATTATGATTCAGTTATCATTTATAGGAGGTCTGTTTTCCCACCATTGGATCTATAAACTTTTACAGGCTTTTCATGTAGCTTGTATAAATCTCCGAATTGATATTAAAATCCTTAACAATGTAGTCCCAACAAATGCATAACAACAACACAATCAGAAAGTATAGTTATCTGGGGATGTGTCTAAGTAATCCCTTTGGACCAATAACATCACTGTGAAATATGACTGTTTGCTACAATGTGCCAGTCCGGTGAATATCTCGCTAGGAAGAAGTGATTAGGATATCTGCAGGTTCAATGGCACACGTCTTGTTAAAATAATGAACAATGTGGCCACTTTTGTCCATAATTGGATTTGGAGGATAGAAATGGTTGCAAGCTATTTGTCCCCAAAGATGTGTTATGCAAATGTTTTGGAGTTACAGCAAGGTTCAGTGGCCTCTTTGTCTCGGTTCACTGCTTCACTATTAAATTAAACAAAAACGTGGATAGGTACAATTTGGAAATGAGAGGCCAGTTTAATGTAAAATGAAACTTACTAATGTTAGAATCAGAAAGTATGCAGAATATGAAAGGCTATGTGCTTCCTGTTAGAAAAGTTACAGATATTTGCAATAGCTTAAATTTTTAAAATAATGATGATAAAATATATGTTACTATACAATACATCATCCTAATAATCTTGTAATGGGATTCACATTGATTGTCTTATGCTAGTGCTCTGAAGGGGAGTGACAGCACAGGGAGACTCAGAGCATCAAAAAACAAAAGTGAAATTTTAAAAAAATGTTAATATGTTTTCAGCAGTTGTATCATTTTTAAAACAATAAAAGGTAGTCTGGTGATCCAAATATGTGTTAGTGCTTAATACCCCATAGAAGTAAAATACACCCTCTAATTGTTTTCAGTTTACACTTTAATTTTGGGGACCATGTATAAGTGTTTTATACCAGATCTGGTTAAACACAGCGCTAGAAAACCCACTTTACAAATACATTATACAAGAACCTCAGCTTATATTTTGCATTAAATCAAATGTAAATACATAATTGACAGAGATAGTTGGTATTCTAATGTACAGATGATGACAGTATATGACTATATCCTTGCTGATGTTTGAAATCGTGGATTTGTGACAATAGAGTTAGCTTAGTTACCTGCAGAGGGATTATTGGTCTAAGTCTGAGGCATTAGTAAAGCTTACCCAAAGGATTATACATCACACTTGATTCATAGTCAGTCCCATAGTAATTATGCCACTGTATACAAAGCTACATGTAAACAAAAACATAAGCATGCAAGAAAAATGACTGAAGACAAAAATCTCCATAGAAATGATTAATTGTGTGAATATTTCCAGTGAATGGGTGGTTTTCCCTCTTGGCTTCTGAAAGCATAATTGCGACACATACATAATGTGCAGTTAATAATATAGTTAGCATTATTTAGTTAATCATGGTGTCTGGTGTGTTGATTATTGCATAGATTTTATGCACAGTACTTTTAAAAATACTCCTTTTTGCATGATAGCAGTATTATTTTATAACTAAAAGAAAAAGCATTTTCAATATTTTCAGCTGCAGTCAGCAGGTGACAAAGGTGCACTATGTAGGAGAGGAAAACTGCTCACAGTAAGAATGTATGCTTTTGAAGGTATATCTCAGCAGGAGTTGAATAAATGCGAGGTATACACATTTAATGCCATACTGTGAGAAATTTCAGGCAAAACAGTAACATGGAGACAAGCAGGCGGTGAACCCCCCACCATAAGAATTATGAAGTGCACCTATTAGACTTAATTGATAGATTGATATTTAATCATTGATAACTGCTTTTCGGGAATAACATTCCTGTTTAGAGATTTACAAATGTCAAGTCATTATCCATTGGTGTCAGAATGAAGAAAAGTTAGAACTGTTGCCATAGCGATTAACAATTTATAGCTAACTGTTATATACGTTGAATGGGAAAAAATATTGAATATTACAGGAAGCTAAAGCTCTCATACTTCAGAGAATTACATGACTCATTGTTTATTTGCCTTGTATGTTATTTCTGGATTTTTCATATATAACTTTTATGGGTTTGCAGAGGATCTACACACGACTTTTGCAGCGCTATTATCAAATCATTATTTAACCAGCTGGCACTCTCACAGCAGAATGAACAGGCAGTAGTTTTGACCACTCTTTACATACAGTATATACTTACACTCCATGGGTGGGAATGAGCCTGAGTGAATCCCTGTTGTGTAATCGCTCGTATTGAGTTAATAAACGGATCAAACAAAATAACACTCTGAATCTCATTTCCACTTTTCAAAACGCCTCTCTCTATCCACACCCTGGTCTTCCTCGCTGCACCTGTCAAAAGAGTCCAAATAAATGTGCTGAATCCTGGAGGAAGACGCGCTGTCAGGCTGCATCACAAAAGTGTCAGCTTTCTCACCAGTCTGCACACTGACCTCCTGCTCGAGCTGCACAGTTGAGAAGAATACTTTGAAAATGGATTAACACTGCAAAAAGTTATTTTGTAGGTAACTTATGATGGTTTGATTTGAGAGCATGTTTATCTTGATTGGAGTAGACTTCACTTGTCTGGTAACATTACCTACCAACGGAACAAGATATGTATTCTTAACTGGAGCAGTCATATTTTTGTTCTCATTTTAAGAGATGTTTTGTTTTTTGTTTTGTTTTTCTTATTTTAAAGGTGCACTGTGTAACTTTTCTAGTGGTGGATTTGCCATTTGCTTGTCTCTATAGAGATGATATTGCTTTGCCGTGAATGTTGCATAGTATGACATCTTACATTTAATACAATTACAGATGTTTTTATTATGTTATTAGGTTCTTTTTTCAGACCAAGGGTTTGTTTTCATACCTGACAGTTTCGACTGCTCACTAGCGGTCTTCCTCAGAGTGGTCATGTGATGTTGCTGTAACGTGTCCAGTCAGCTGATTTAAACAGGTTTTGGTGCCGTCTTCCTACCGGTGGAGGCAGGATGACAGTGCCATCTGCATATAAACCGGTACTAGGGGGCTCTTTTACTCTCACACACCTGGGATACTGTTCTGAGGAAGTCGGACTGCAGATGGCGCTGTCATCCTGCCTCCACCGGTAGGAAGACGGTGTCAAACCCTGTTTAAATCAGCTGACTGGACACGTCACAGCAAAATCATGTGACCACTCCGAGGAAGACTGCTAGTGAACAGTCGAAACCGTCAGGTATGAAAACAAACTCTTGGTCTGAAAAAAGAACCTAATAACATAAATTATCGGAAGACCAAATGAACCTCATCGGACTATAGGTGTTTTTATTGCTCATAAGTTCAATGAAAAACATGCCTCATACTGTAAGCAGAGTTGCATCTCCACAGATCTGACCTGTAACTTGATCTGGTGGTGTTTCTTTCCTGTTATCATGGAAACAGATATGAGTAATGTTATACTGTGGAACAGGCAAAGCAATAACATCTCAATGGAGACAAGCTGTTGGCAGACCCTTCACCACAAAAGTTACACAGTGCAACTTTAAGTAAGGTAAAGTATGCTTTATTGATCCCTCATGAGAAAAATCCCATCTCTATTTGTCCCATCCTTCAACCAACCTTTCAGGAGCAGTGAGTGACTGCCGTAGAGCGTCCAAGGACCCATCTTCAGATCATGAGTTAGGCTTGGTCAGGAGTACTTTAACTTGAGGATTTTACCGTGCATGTTTTGGGTTGTAGAAGTGGAACTAGATGGTTTTTAAGTACAAAGTTGTTTTCTATTACCAGATATTTTACTTTACAAATCAAATATACTCTAATCAAGATAAAATATTCTGATTTCAACAAATTTTAACTTGCATAGTTTTGTTAGTTTTGTCGTGTAGTTACAGAATACTAAAGCCTTTGAAATGTATTTTGTAACATATTCAGTGACATGGTCTAATCGAGTACTGAATGGAGTAATGATACTTGCACAAACATCATATAAAACTTGGGACTTAACTGGAACTAAACTCGTAGCTAAACATGGACTAGACTTATCCAAAACTAGAACAGGATCAAACCAAGTACATAAGGACTAAACTGGTACAAATGTGAATAACACATACAACTGTGAATGCACCCTGAGTTTCTTTATATTTTATTGTGAAACCGCGATGCAGATGCACTGTTATGCCTTTATTTATCATTGATTAGAGAAGGAAAAAATATACACACATGCACACACCATAAGAGCTGTTATCTGTTTTTTTCTCTTTGATACTGCAGCTCAAATTCAAAACTGAATGATGAAGTATCACAATCTATTTCTTTTATTTTTAGAAAGTATTTTGAATATCATGAAATTAAAGAGCAACTATCTTAACAGAGCTTCTCGACAATAAGTATTCAGCTATATTTTATATTTATGTATTTAGTTCTGAACACTGGCAGGAGCTCTGGTACCCGGACTGTCTCTGCTTACGTGTGTAGTTGGCCTATTGGATTTATGGGGGCCATATATATTAACTCAACTATCTCCTGGTGCGGTGCTGTCTGAATGCATTAATTGTGAGGTTAAGCTGAGGTAGGCACTATCAAGTTCTGCAGAAGCACAACTGCATTCCTCTCTGTGCTGGTGAATTCAATATAAAGAAGATCCATCTGACTTAAATGCAAGAATTTCAACATTAAGAGACCATACTGTATGTAGCATTATGAAAGGGACAGTCATTTTAGCACCTGAACAGGGATGTAAACAATAGCAAAAATATATCACGCTGATAATGAAAAACATTATTTTCAATAGAATGTGATTTTCAACATTAAATAATAGTACTTTCTTTTATATTCCCATGTGGTAGCACCTGCAGCACCTTCAAGAATACGGCCTATATTGACCCTGACTTAATGGTCCTTTTGTTTTTGTGGTTCCAGTTGGGTGAGGACACATTTAATCGTGCCAAGCTGCTGAACGTGGGCTACAGCGAGGCCCTGAAGGATGCTGAGTACGACTGCTTCATCTTCAGTGACGTGGACCTGATCCCCATGGACGACCGCAATCTGTACCACTGCTACGACCAGCCGCGCCACTTCGCCATCGCCATGGACAAGTTCGGATTCAGGTAAGACTCAGTAGGATAACATAAGGAAAAAAACTATATGGTGTAACAGCAATGCACATAGTGACTAACGAAACTATCATCAGATCATTTAGGACTTCCCCATCTTTTCAGGTCAGGCCCTCAAAAATACTTCTTACTGGACTGAAATTGACAGTGGTAATAATTTTTTAGAGTCAGATTAAGTTAATTTGGGTTTAATGTGGCTGTCAATGTAACAAATGAACAGTTATTCAGATAACTATAGCATAAACAACATAACGTAACAAATTTACCAAACTCTTCATCTCACTCCAAATAAAAAATCCTTTGAATTCTTCATCCTCAGTGTCATTTCTGAGCAGATCGGTGAGTTCCGGAGGTAAAAGGAGCTCTGCTTCCTCTTCTGTGTAGCTGTCATCAGACTCAGCATCAGTTCCAGTTAGAATTATTCTGGTCTTTCTGAATCTCGAAAGGATGGTTTCGGTTGTCTTTATGTTTGTTTAAATTTTAAATTGTCATTGATACAAAACTAATGGTGTGTTTGTTTTGGTAATGATTTGTTTTGGGTAAGGAGTTATAAGATTATTGAATTGAAATGTAAACAGCAAGGCCACTGAAGCATCATTTTCAAAAGTTAACAAAAGCAACAATTCACTTAATTAGTTTTTAGCATTTTGAACATGTAATACACAAGACCAAAGAACACAAAAACATGTCATTTCGTCACTTAACATTCATGTATGCTGCATAAAACCTCTGCATCTCAATTATCTAAAAGCCATGCTCTCATTGATTCATTGATTCATGAACCAAACATGAGCAGCCACAGTCACCTTCTGATCCGCCGCTGTCATACTTCAGTTATCTTGGTCCCCACACTCCGCACAGAGATAACGCTCAATAAGCTAATGCTATTGGCAACACGCTCCAGACCACATGTGATCTGTTCTAGCCAACACTCTGTAACATTAAATCAGAGAAACCATTGCATTGATTTGAGTGTAATGAATGAGAAGGAAATCACTGCACTGATTGTGCTTTGTCTTTGGTGCTTATTTTGACTGCTTACTGGACTTATTGTATCTCTCAGTTATGTATGGGTTAGTCTAAGTCTAAGATAGAAACACAATTTCTTTGATTTGTTGCAAAACTCTACATTCTAAAAAATTCTAAAATTCTGTTAAGTTTACAACATTCTTGGCAGGCTGGCGCCACCTAGTGCCTCCACTCAATTTAATTTCTCTCCAGTGACCATATCAGAAATTGGAATACACAAGACAGTTCCCAAAAACCACAGAAGTGTGAGTTCGGGCACCAGCCAATCAGCGAAGAGTCATAGATTCTGTGTTGGCAACAATTCCCAAGATCGAGCATTTAAAGCCGTAACAAAGAGAATGTTTGGTGAATTTTATCAAGGGGAAAGACGTTATTGTCCTTCTTCCTATGGGATTTGGGAAAAGCGTAATATACCAGTTAGCACCGTTAGCAGCGCATCACATATGTCATGACCAAATAGCAGCGATTGGTTAAATAAAAAAAGTACCCGCCTACCATCGAGCAAACCAATTCTAACGCTGTGAGGACAGACGGTTTCTACGAAGTGAAACCGGCTGATGAATCAGGCTACAACATTCTAGGGCTGCAATAAAATATATAAATACCAATTTATATTGGAACTTTATTTGTACAGTATCAGTATTAGGACTGTTTGTAGTCGACTAAAGAAAGTTTAGTTGTAGTCGATGTGTGACAAAAACTTCAGTGTATTCCTTATCAATGATTTGACCATGTAACTGACCTTAACTGCACTCACAGGTCTAGAAGTGCACACAAGTTCATGAAAAAAACAACAATTTAAATGGAAAAGTACTAGAAAATGTATTTATATGTAAATACGTTTTCAGATAGAGTAATCCATACCCTTCTCTGTCTGCTATTGAGAATGTAAATCCTAGTAAAATAATCAAGTAAGCACAAGTACAAGTTTTGGTCAACTTAAGACACCATTAACCAATTAATCGATTAAAGGTCCACAGTTCTAATTGATATAATTAAACACATATTCATTAAGTTATTTTTGGTATATTTCACCAAGTTGCTCTGTTGTGTTGTTGCTTATTTGGAGAAAGGAAACTTGCTTATGTAATACAGTTGTAGTAGTAATCACTGTTTTTATTATTAAGTGTATACATTTTTTAGCTTGTGTAGGCAGTGTTTTACAAGGCAAATACTATGGGATAATTATTTGTTTCTTAAAAATAAATAAATAAATAATAAACAGTGAGATATATTTGTTATCGCTGTATCTTCTCTGTATTTTGAGATTACCAGTATTGTGTGCCATCTATCTCACATTGAGAAGTTTAAACATTAATGATTTTTTTTCCATTAAGTTTCCCACTAGTGTCTGTTATAAAAACCCCATTCACCTCTAGTGTCTGGCCTTTTAAAAGATTCACAAAATTAGGTTTGCAAAACAAGAACTAATAGGTCCGACTTTAGGTGTCAATCTCACAGATAATGGGCTCTAAAGACACCAGGACAATGTAAAATGTTTTTCACTAACCTTCAGCCAAGATGCTATTTTAGGATGGTCACTACACTCAGTTAAACTTTAAAGAGGCACCATGTAACTTTTCTGTTGGAAGGTCAACTACTTCCAAATCAAGATCTTTTTTTAACAGACCAGTGTGTTGTTTAAAAATACCTGGATATATATTCAGAAGGAGCACGTTTTGTTACAGAGACGTTTCTTGCCAGCTGATTTACACAGATTTTGGCACCTTTCTCATACCTGTGGGCTTGTTTCCAGATCTCAGTAGCCTCCTTAAGCCAACATTTGTGTTTGTAGTCCTCCATCCCAATTATTTTTGCGCTTTCCCAGTCCATATCTCTCTCTCCTGCAGTGATCTGTGATGGCCGATTTGAGGTTCCCCTGTTCGGCTTTTTTCTGTGTCACTCTATTGTTTCCTTCTCACATTCTGATTTGTGTTCTTTTTACGTATGCTGGAAGCTCTCCCTGTCTCATCTGTATATGTTTTCTTACATGCCGGTGTGGGATTTTGTATATGACATTACATTTTTGTTCTGGGCTTATCTTGTCTTTAGGATGCACTAACATTTGTCTTATTTTCTGTGTGGTTTCACTGGGGTGTTTATATTATGCTTTTTTATGGCTTGCTATATTTTTCTTTTATTCCCCGGATATATAGGACTGTGACTGTTCCTGTATTTTCCTCACTTGCTGTTTTCTCTTATTGATGGCCCAGTTTGGGGATAGGGCATAGCTGTAGTGCTTTTGTGCCTTTCTTCCTCCTGTCAGCTACTTGTTTGTTTTGATGGAAATGTCGTTGCTTTACCTGGAATGTTCCACAATATGGCACTAAACCTATTTATCTCCATGGAGACAAGCATGTGGCACTGCTTGGTCAAGTTACAGGTCAGATCTGTGGAGAGTCGACCCCCACTCACACTAACAATGCATGTTTGTCCAGGTATTTTTGATTAAAAAAAATAAATAAATACAGTTTAAAGTTTTCTGATCTATGTTTTAATGTTGGTTCCTCATCAAAAACATACCTGGAGTTGTCTTTGTTTCACTCATAAATATTTAACTCATTAATCCTGCATATTTAGGCTGATTTCTTCTCTCAAACTCTGTAAAGTACTCTGTTCCACCTCGTGATGTCATGTGGTGCTACAGGAAGTGCCCCACTGTGTTTTTAAACTCCGTGCACCTTCATCAAAATAGCTGGGATCATTTCAGCCCTGTGGTTTCTTATCTCTACTAAACAAAAGTTAAAAATGTGCTGTTAACTTGAAAACTACCACTGACATCATAAGGGGGAACAGAGCATTTGGAGCTTTGGCCATATAGATAAACTAATGATCAAGGTTTACTCAGACATGAAGTGTGAGTAAAAAAAAAAAAAAAAAAAAAAAAACATCTCCAGGGTTTGCTTTTGATGAGGTAACAACATTCTAATATTGCTTAAACCTCACAAGATTCAATTTTGCGTAATACATCTTTAAAGCCATACTGTGGAAAATCTGAGGCTTAACCATCGATCTCATTTATGTATTTTTCTTTTGTACTTTAATGATAAACACTCTCAAAGTCAGGTCTAATAAGAGTTTTCCATTACCTTAGCACCTTGCTGCGTACCAATTACAGCACCAACCAAACTGGGGTCACCTTGTAATCTTTTCATGCTGATTTCAAAAACATGACGTAAATTAAATTATCTGTTCGGGGCTTGTTCCGCTTATTAGATTATATGACACGGCATTATGTTGTACTAATACACTTGATGTATAAGTACTTGGCAAATGGCTGTGCATGTTGGACAATGAGTACTGTCAGGCCCCACTCCCAATTACTATAGTGCACAATACACTGATTAGGTCTGGTGTTGTCTGAAATGCACAAATTTACCCAGAATGCATTTAGACTAGGCAGTGTATAGTGGTGGCATTTTCTTGATTGCTGCCCCAAATCCCTGATCCCTTATTGTGATAATTGAATTACCAAATATAAAGGGCCTATATTACGCAATGTTATAATATTGTTTCCTCATCACAAACATACCTGGAGTTGTGTTTTGTTTCATTCACACGTTTAACACACAAACTCTGAATATTTAGGCTGAAATCTTCTCTCAAACTGTAAACACTCTGTTCCACCTTGTGATGTCATGTGGTAATACAAGAAGTGCTCCACGGTGTTTTTAAACTCCATACACCTTCACTAGAATCATTTGAATAGTTTCCTTCATGCAGTTGCCAATCTCTGCTAAACAAAAGGTAAACTGTAGCTGTTGACTTGAAAACTTCCACTGCATGACATCACAAGGTGGAACAGAGCATTTTGAGCTTTGGGGATGTGAGCAAACTAATAATAAACATGTGTGAATGAAACAAAACACAATTCTAATTTGGTTTAAAGCTCACAAGAGTTAATTTTGCGCAGTATGGGCTCTTTAAAGTCAACATATTATGCTTGTGCCTGCTATATAGTAGAGTATATATAATCTATGACATTGTTTCCCAAAGACTGGGTCATGACCCTCAGGTGGGTCAGAAGAGATTTTTTTTTTTTTGGGGTCGCCTTGTCACAATTTGAATTTAGGCTGAAATGTTAAGACATGTTTTGAAGAATTTCTAATCATTTTGTAATTATTTTACTGTCTTTTTTGTTCCAGTATTACTGGTTCAATTGAATGCTGAAAAGGAAAAGAAATTGGCTATGTTTAATGTCCAAATAGGCAACTTATGGATCCTTTTATTGCTGGTTCAATGACTATTTTTCATTGTTTAAAACTTGAGTAATACTAATTGTTCAGAGAAACATGATCACTCAGTCAACAATAAAATATCCTCATTAATGTTCAATAATGGTCAAATCCACCTTTATTTTGTGATTTATGAATAATGTCTATTGACTTGGGTCATGAAGGTTTGTGACTTTTAAAATATAGGGTCCCGAGAAAAAAAAAAAGTTTGGGAAACACTGATCTATGACACCCATTAAATCTCAATATTGATAGAAAACAACTCAATAAAATAAATACATATGATCCATGATGCTGTGACTCACCCCTTTATTTTGTTGGTGGTAGAAAAAAAAAACATCATGATTTGTTTTTCCCTTTAAGCATGTCCCTGTCACACAGCCTGTTGCCTTACCATGTTGTGTTGAATACAGTGACATATATTCTCTCTGCCTTTGGTCAGACCTCAGGCTCTTGTCACGACCCTGCAGCAAATACTTGTCCCGGATCAGCAAACTCAATACTGTTGAAGAAAAAAAGCCACACTGTGAACCATAGATGTTGTTTGTCTCTGTCACAGTACATATAATACCAGAACATAAAGTTGTGTTGACACAGCTGTGAGAACAATCGGGTGGTGCAAACAATGGAAAAAATATAATGTTTTTCAAAACAGGTGTGTGAGATTAAAATGCCACAAGATATGTTTTTTTGTTGTTTTTTTTCACCATGTTCAATCATTGTAGAGAACATAACATTAGATTACTGTAAAATAATATTAATGAGCATAATAACCTGTGTAATGTGTGTATGCATCTTTTACTGTTTCTACCCAAAATGTATATAGAAAATCTTTTTTAAAGTGAATTTGTTAATTTACTCATCGTATTTTGTCAAAATTTTGTCTCTCATAATCGGACAAAATCTCAATAATATCTCTTATGTAATTTGTCTATTTTCTCTTCTTTATAAATGTAAATTGTTGTCCAGAAATGAAAAAAAAAAAACTTTGCCTAACCTCACCTTTTCCATTACTGTTTTCTCCCTTGCAGGCTGCCGTATGCTGGTTACTTCGGAGGCGTTTCGGGGCTCAGTAAAAAACAGTTTCTGAAAATTAATGGATTCCCAAACGAGTACTGGGGTTGGGGAGGAGAGGACGATGACATCTACAACAGGTACTCACGTCTGCTTAAACTGGTCAATATTTGAGCATATTATTTCTAAATTATTTGGCAAGCTTAATTAATTAGTTCAGGATAACAGCCTTTACTCTTTGCAACTTGTTCTGAAAGCAAATATCTGTCAAATGAAATAAATAAAACTGAATGATATCGCCTAAGCATTATTAAAGCTCATTGTTGTTGGAAGCAACTGCCATGACTATCTAGGAGGGTTGTTCCTCTATCATGGTTTAAAATCAGGTACAAGATCTTTATAGCTGTATTTATTATTATTTTATTATTGTATATCTATGTTATAATGTTGTTTCCTTACCAAAAACATACTCAGAGTTGTGTTTTGTTTCATTCATACATGTTTAACACACTAATCCTGCATATTTAGGCTGCATTTTCCCCTCAAACAGAAAACACGCTGTTCTACCTTGCAATGTCATGCGGTTACACAGAAAGTGCTCCACTGTGTTTTTAAACTGAATAAACCTTCGCTAGAATCATTCGGATGATTTCAGCCCTGGAATTTCCAATGTCTATGAAACAAAATGTAAAAAGTGGCTAGAAATAAAGAATTACCCAAATGTGTGAATGAAACAAATCTCAACTCCCGGTCTGTTTCTGATGAGGTTACGACATTCTAACAATTTTGCATAATGTAGGACCTTTAATAAAAGTCATACAATATTTCCAGCATAAATATATCAGATTTTTGTAATGTTGCTAATTCCTATGTGTTGTGTTGAAGAATACAACATTCAAAGTTAAGAGAGGTAACAGACTTTGTTTACATTTAGCCACTGTTTATGCTGTGATTTGAATGTGACCAGTTTTAGAGACTCTTATTTCCAACAGGACACAAGCAGCAGTAAATATACTACCAACACATACTATATATAGAGGTCCTTAGACTATATGGTCTTCGCATAATTTCCAGAGCACTGACTGAATGTGGATACCATCTTGTTTTCCATAGTAATATTCTTCCACTCAGCACACCGGAGCTGTACTGTACAATACATCTCTGCACCTTTTTCTGTTGAAACTGCATTTTCCCCTTGACACAGATGACCACTCGCATAAAGCTCCCACTGCAGAAACATGTTGTCCATATTCTATAATATACTATGTACATTCACATAGAAATTAGGTGAGATTTTTTTCCGAACCATCATTTATAGCATCATCGCACTCAACAATAATATTATGCAGGTTCACAGATGGTTAAAGGTGGCCTGGTGTTGTCACTTGCTTGTCTCTATGGAAATAAAAAAAGTTTAATGCTATACAGTAGTACATTCTGTGCAAAGCCATAACACTGGTGATGGTTTTTCCATAAGAAATGTTTATAGTGCACCTTTACTGAATATATAGAAAATAAGGCTGGTTAGGTTGCAATTGTTAATTTTGACCCACATTGTAATATAGTCAGATCTTTACTTGCATTACCCTGTTAAAGTAAAACTTAAATCAAAATGTTGCCTAAAGCCAATTATACTATATTTAATTGTGATCAATGCTACAGTAATCATGGGCTAATTGTCCCTTGTCATGTCATATTTCACATAGATTTAATATACTGCATAATGTCTGTCAGATATCACATTAGCCAGATCAAATCAAACCTTTCCAGTAATTTATCATTGTTGAAATAAGGAGTAATTAACACATAAATGAACCTTATAGGGCTCTTTAGTCACTGACTCGCTCACAAATGTCATTATCTGAGAAGCACATAGAAATCAGAGGACCATGCTTTGGGTTCGAGACTAAGGTGTAATTTGAGAGTGCATAAGTGCTTTCAACCATTACTTTAATTTCCTGTTCACCCAGCCATTTCACAGAGCTTAGCATGTTTAATTAACAGGTGAACTGATGCTGTGAGTGTGACGTCAGTGTGTAATAGAGAAGTGTGATGGTTTTGGTTCATACAGAAGATAGAACATAATGAGACCTTGAAAATGCAGGTAGTGCATCTGAATGCTGTGTTGATTGCAGCAAGTATTCTCAGCCTAACTCCAGCTGTTAGCTTTGTCGTTCACACCTGCAGTGTGAAAATGTCAGCTTTCGTGTTTGGTTTTGAGCTGAACATGAAGTTTTAAAGTACTGTATAGGTTACCATAATTAAAGCTGATTTACCCAACTTTACTCGTGCATACATATGTGGCCATACTGACTTGTCAAAACTTGATTGCGTCAGATCTCAGAAGCCAAGCAGGGCCAGGCCTGGTTAGTATTTAGATGTGAGACTGCTGAGAAAGGTGCTACACTGGTGCCCCAAGTGGTGTGTGTGTGAGTGGTGGTGATGGTCAGGGGGGCTGATTGGGCAGATTGGCACCTTTTTTTAGTTAGTCTGCCCCAGGGCAGCGGTGGCTTCTTTAGCTGCTTACCACTACTGAGTGTGGAGTGAATGAATAATGCATTGTAGCATCTTTGAGCACTATATAAAACAGATCTATTATTGTAAGTTAGTACATTTTGTTCCCCCCATAAAGTTGAATATAAAGCAATTGTCAAGGCATCTCAAATCTTATGGGATGTTGCTAAATTGGGCCAATATTTGCACTTTTTAGTATATCAGCTATCGGCCTTAAATCTCCCACACAGGCCGATATTTACTTCTGGCCTACTGCCTAAAGAATAGATAATTTATAGGACTGTATTTGAGAACAATCAAAATCTGCCATGCATATTGCCCCAAAAATACTGGCAGAGCTTATCGGTTTCTTATGATTCAATCTGTATTGCGTCGTCCATGAAAAACAAACATGTCGGTCGATCTCTAGTTATCTCTACTTATAATTATACACCTTTTAACTTCCAAGATGGCTTAGTTTATGCCAGTGATGAGTACTGTAGCTTATTTTAGCAGCAACGTTTTGAAAGTAGTAGTAGTAGTAGTAGTAGTAGTAGTAATAATAGTAGTAATAGTATAAAAAGACCCTTCTATCCCTTCTGGATTCATGTGTACTCATACGGTTGCCTTCTCAGTGTCTCCATATTATGTCCTTATTCTCTTTTATCTATCCCTTCCTCGTCCTGGTCCTGGCTGCCTTGTCATTGTGCTCCATGAGGCTTATCTCACTTCACTCTCTGCAATGCCTTTATTAGCAAAAAAGTGTAGGTCTTTCAAAAAATCCTGGTTTTGAATGGCTTGCGTCAATCCGAGCAGTACAGATGAGATTACCATTGTTTGCTGCTGCCTGGTGAGATGTGATAAAACTGATCCGAGAGTGTGGCTACAATTATGTGTCCAAAGAATGACAGATAAAGTTGAACTCGTTTGGGGAGATAGGCGAACCAGGCCATTAGATACTGGAGATTTCCCCCCCAAGATATTCCCTATACGTCACACTATCAGTTTGAGCTGCCATGAAATGTGAAGAAGAAGCTCTGCCATTAAAGAGGACCATATGTTACAGTGTAGAGCGTAGAAACAGGGCACTATGAGATTGTGTTTATATGTGTGTATTTGATGATGCATTGATGATGATTTGATGTTATTTTTTTCAGTTATGTTTAGAATATTCTGCAGTATGGCATTAACCGTATCTATCATGAATTTACGGGTGTTTTTATTGCTAATATTATTTTGAAAAACATACACCAAGCATGTCCAAACTATGGTCCGTGGGCCAAATGCGGCCCTCAGACAAATTCTTCTTGGCCCTCAGGCTTCCAGGTGAATTGACCCAAATTACCTTGCATCAATTAAAAATTAACTTTTTACTCCAAGGTTTTTGAAAATCTACCTTGATAAAACTAATATTTAATATTTAGTGTGTGGTTTTAATGATCTTAGCATGAGTAAAGACTGATGGCTCATTCTAACATGTTAAATATGCACATATTACAATTGTTCACTGTACTGAGCACCAGTCTACGGCCCTCGATCAGCCCTCTGCTTCGTCTGTGTTTAGATATGTGGCCTTTGATGAAATAAGTTTGGACACCCCTGACATACACTGTTACTGCTGGGTCATCTCTACACAGATCTGATTTGTAACTTGTAACTTGGTCTGATTCTCCATAAAAATACACAGCAACTTGACAAACCTGTGATGTGCAGTAGTTTCATTAGCGAGGAGAGGGGAGAGGAAACTCAGAGCATCAAAAATGAAAGATAAAGTTATAAAACACGTTAATACATTGTTTTCACCGAATATGGTATTTTTAAAACAATACGCTGTAACTTGGTGATCTATATATGTTATGTGTTAGCAGTTAATACCCCATAGAAGTAAAATACTCTCTAAGGAATGACACTAATGTTTGTATTTTGTTCTATTTGAAACATATTTTATTGTTACACCATACTCACAGTAATACACAGTAGCAGTATTTCAGTCTAACTATTTTCTTTTTCATATACCTTACTATTTCATCAAGATTTTTATAGCTGTTCCGATGTACCTTGTAAACCCAAGCATAGAATGGGTCCTTTTGTTCTTCTGAGTGCATTTTCTCTACAGTATATAAATGTATGTATGAAGCTGAACTTGCTGCAATTGCACATGTGCTGCCCTTGGCTCTGCTCAAGCAACTTACAGAGCTCGGGAACAGAATAGAATAGATGATAGATAGGCCAATGTGTGTGTGTGTGTGTGTGTATGTGTGTCTGCGTGTGTGTGTGCGTGCATGTGTGTATGTGGACAGGTTTGTATCACATCGTGGCGACCAAAATCTGTACACACAGTCACATCATGGGGACCTGCCTTCCATTTGGGAACAAAGATCATCTCCTCATGATGTAAATCCTTCATTTTTAGATCAGCAACATGATTTTTTAATATGGGTTTATATGGATCAGGTGAGGTCAGGGATTATTTTTAGGGTTGTTAAAAAGCTCAAAAATCAGATACTAAAATAGATACTGCTTTAAGTCAGTCAATGGAAATTACAGTTGCAGTATTATCTAGTAAAGAGTTTGTAAATCATCATTTCGTATCAAGCCCATTTATTATTGAAATCAATATTAGTATCAGGACAACACTAGCATGCAG